AAAACACAGATATGTAAGACGAAACTTCTGTGGAGATGAACAAGTTGTACGTACTCCTCCATTTTGTGGGTACAGAAATCGGTCATCATGTCCAACTTGATAATTTTCCGTCCTACCCGAAGAGCACAATTAAGCAGGATTTTAAGCTATTCTAGGACAAAAGCAGAGCAAAAATTTCATTTGCAGAGATTTCTCGTCATTTTCTTTCGCTAGCCATACGGAATAGAACCAAAATGTCAACTTTTGCCACAGAAGAGCATATAAAGCTAATTGTTCAGTTTTGTAAGGCTTGACTTAAAGAGCAAATACGTTCGTCTCGAGTTTTCGCAGCTGCTTATTGCTTTAAGTTTCTAGGGCTCTCCTTTCTTTTTAAATCATGCCCCATAACTGGCCCAAGCCCAATAAGATGATTTGCACATACAATCATGTTATCTGCCAAATGAACTTCTACGTATCATCCACATTTGAACAAGTCAAGTTAGCGGCGTCATCGAATGAAACCTGAACTTTCAGTGTATATAACTAAATATAAAAGTTAGTGATGGTTCACCTGTGTAAACCTCACTCAATGGTTACCATTTAGGCATTACATTTAGCATAACACGTTTTCAGGATGATGAAGCTTTGTTTCAAAGTGGAGTAGCAAAGCAAGCCCTTGTAGAAAGGCACAAAAGACGAAAGAGTCTGTTTGGGGGTTCTGAATGGATTGTCAGTTACCAGCTGACAGATTAACTAACTGATCAGCTGCCAACCGGATGACCCACGATATTCTAAGGCTTCGTGAAATTTTCGAGAATATTCGAGTGATTTTCAGTAACATTTTGAACGGCCTATGAAATTCTTCGGAAATCTTCGGAGGTCCTCGTTAGGTAAAAGTCGGAAGACCTTGAATTATCATGGTTTTCTTTTTCGGCTGATCTTCGGCTGATCTTCGTCTACTCCGGTCCTATGGCATGGAGTGAGCTACACTGTTCAAGAGAGGCTAGGGTGATCGAAGAGAACGATTCTCAATTCCTTATAATAATTATGAAAACTCTCTGAACTTTGTTTTTAGTTTGGTATCACATGGTACTTGTTATGTTTATCACGTTCAAGATAGCATAATGGGCAAATTATTTTGAGATATGGTGTCCAAATCTCCCGCGGATTAAGTTAACGCGCTTCGTGAATGTTTTCCTAGAAGATTGAAAACGCAAGCAAAGTCATTTGGACTGTCCATGCGAGTAAAATTCGCCTCACAGCATTAGCTATTCTTAGATCCTCC